TTTTTCCTAAAACACCATAATCATCTTTCTTAATACCACCTCTCCTTTTTCTACTTGATTATGGTTGAGCGAGTATCCATAGAGGTAATTTAGAGAAAATTGATAAATATGAGAAAGGGGTCTTATATTTAGGACCAAAACCAATACAAGAATTGGGTCATATATTAAGGACCGGAGGAGTACTTAATATAAAAGCTAGATGAGAAATTAAATTTAATATTAAATATAAAATTTCAATTCACTTTGTCTCATATTTTCTTCAAAATATTTTATTAATTGCAAGAGATTCCATCTAGTCATGCGATTCCAATACACATGATTAAAAAAGATAATTTATAAAAGTCAATATATATTTTTTACAAATAATTAGTTAAACTAATTTTGCCCCTGCAAACTAAGTTATTTAGTGTTCACTCTTTAACGCACATCACACACTTCTCTTAATTACGCTTCTTAATGACACAACTTCAAAGTTGTTTACATCACTCACTTTGTAAACAAATCCTATTGGTTTCCAGCACTGCCCTCCCTAAATACATTAAATTCCAAAGGCGATGCTTATTTTTAAGGATATGTTTTCCAGCATTTTATCTTCTCATGCAAAGCAAACAAGTCCCACACAAGGAAAGAAAATGATTAATGTTTGAACATGTAGCAAAGTAAATATTATGCAGGAGTTTGTTGAAGAATTAAATTTCGTTCTAAATACAGGACCTAGGTCATACTTATTTTGTCCTCCAAATTTATAATTTATCCAATCATTATGAATTGTAAATAGTTCCTATCAAGGGTAATCCCAACCCACCATATGATTCAATGGGATATTTTAAAGAAATCGGCATACATTTGTTATAAATAACTAGTTTAACTAATTTTTTTAATACTTTTAGATTAGTTATCTAGTTCTCAAATTATGAACCAAACAATGAGACATAAGATCATTTTGCTACAAAGGGACTACATTTAGTTGTTGTTTTATATCAGCAAACAAGTCATATTTTTTAAAATATTTTTGAATTAATTATCTAACTCTTAAATTAGAAATCAGACAATAATATATACAATCATTTTGCTAGAAAGTGAATACATTTAGTTGTTGTTTTATATCAGCAAACGAGTCAAATTTTTCTGCGTCTACATTTACGAAATCTAGCTAGCCAATTATGTTACTCATAACTTCAAATTACAGGAGAGATTCATATATTCTCGTAGGTTCTATATTACTACCTCCGGTCTTAATTATAAAAGCCAGTTGACTAATTTAAGAAGATTAAGAAAGTAAGTTGAGTTAGTTATTTGTCCTAAATAGGTGTTTTTTTTCTAAAATATCCTTGCTAATCAAGTGTATTAACTAGAACTATAATTATTAGAAGGATTATCTTGGAAAAAATTGAGTAAATATGAGAAACAAAATGGATTTGAGTATTATATTTAGGACCAAATAAAAATCAAATAAGTCTTATATTAAGGACCGAAGGTAGTATTATCCATGCTGATGCTGACAACAACCAAACTAGCTAAAGTACAAAATAATATGCCCCGAGCTTCGGTATTTGAGTATAAATTAATGCTCAGAATGTAACTTTTGGAAGCTATCATAGATGTATAACTATTTATATTATTCACGTAAAAATACGAAAATCATATGGAAATATTGATTTGAAGGAATAGTAGAAAGTCATTGTTAATGAGCAATCAGTTACAGTGGAGGTGGTAGTTCCAGCAGACAACAATCTTAACAAACACTCCTAGGTCTATAGTATCAGTTGTAATTCACAAGCTTTTATTCAACTTATTCCCACTCACATTTCATTAAAGTCAATGCTTTATTTCATTATAAGCCAAGAAAAGTTCCCTGACTTTGACTCAGAACAGGAATTTTATGATCACTCCTAAGATTTTATATCCATTACCATCGAATTTTTATCCCAACCTTCAAACCTAATTTACTATTGCCATCAATATAATTAACTCTCACCACCAAAAATTATTACAAAAAAAAACACAATTTCAGGAAATATAATATTATTGGCCTGCGATATACCAAATCTGCAAGAACACACGCAAACGAATAGCAAATTGTAGTGCGTGTCAAAGCTGCTGCTTCTATCAATTCGTCACCTAAACTTTACCTCAAACTAATTTTACACACACATATATATATATACTGAATTCCCTTACATGCATCTTATTAATAATGTGGCAAGTAATTTTGTTTTTATAGGTATCTACATCTAAATTATGATCCTTAATATAAAAATTAGTTAGAAATTATACGTGGTTATAAATATAAAATATCGATTCACTTTGTCTCTCAATTTCATAATTTAGAAATTAAGGGGTTTCCATTTAATGCATGATTAAAAGGGGTATTTTGGAAAATTAACTCATATTTGTTATAAACAACTAACTTAGTTAATTTTTTAAATCTATTTAAATTGGTTTAGTAGCTATTATATTAAAGACCAGATATAGTATATATTATCAAATTTTAACACAGCACTTTATTATCACACTCTCTTTCTTGTCATTTAAGCTAATTTTAAGTGGTTTGTTTAATACCCATATGTAGGAATCATCTAACTAATTTACATATATTATGTAATAAATATGTGTTTATTTTTCTAAAACACACAATTAATCATCATTCTCATGGGGAAACATCGCCCTAATATGTAATGGGGATGCTTTGAACAAATTTTATAAATTTAGGAAGTATTTTTTTTTCCTAGATACAATTATCAAATGCACATTACAGATAAATTCGAGTATTGTCGAATATAAATAAGATATTTTTCAAGATATTATTATATATTATTCTCTTTATCACTTATAAGACTTGAGTTGTCAAATATCGAGTGGAATTGAATTCCTTCTTCTATTATTTCTAATTTCTAATACCTTGCTCAGCTTTAATGATAGAATAAGAGGAGCTGAGTTTAACAAAAAGATTACCCTTTTACAAGTTAACAGATTAAAAGTTAAAAAATAACAAATAAAGACCTTCTAATATGTGAAATCATGATTTGGGACCCTTTATTTGGAAAATGACAAATAAAGATTTGGTCTCATTATAAATATGAAATCTTAATAAAATGCCTGAAATGCTCTTTAGCGAAGTTGTGATTTGATCTACTGAAATTGTTATTAGCTAAAATGAACTTATTATTTTTCATAGTCAATTTGTCATTTGGCATATCTTCAACCAAGTTATGATTTGGTTTGCTAAAGTTGTCATTAGTTAAAGTAAACTTGTCATTTCCTATAATCAACTTGTCACTTGGTTGAGAGCATTTCAGATATTTCACCAAGATTTCTATTTGCAATATGGGACTGGATATTTATTTGCCATTTTCCAAATTAAAGGTCTCAATCAGCAATTTCACATATTGGGGTCGTTTATTTGTTATTTCTCTTAAAAGTTCAAATTTTTACATCTTTATTAGGAAAAATACCTATATTTAATATCTAACATGTATTGAATATATAATTGCTTCCAATGTATAAGAATTGCCGTGCTTATTTAAAAAAAAAAAAACTTGTGATGAAGGATTTCACATATCAGCGATTATACTATTAAAATTTGGCACAATCTGACAAATCAATAATGGTGTACATGTAATTTTATCATTGGGGTAAAATTCTTAATAATTTTTAATGAATTTAATAGCCATACCCTTCATGTCATGTCATGAAGCACAGACGAACGTATGTGATGCCACAGCATATGATCATCATCACCCACCCACCCTCTCTCCCTCCATCTCTCTCGCTCTCTCTGTCATCCTTTACGCCCCATTACTTTTTATTATTATTATTTTAATATTTAAAATTCATTTTTTTAAAATATATTAAACATTTATAACAGGAATATTTAAAAATCGAGAGACGCATGCAAAAAGGTCATCATAGTGTCCTCTCTGTCCCACGCCAACCTCTCCCCTATTCCCCTTTTCCTGTTTTTTTCCTTTTGTAACTGTTATCTTCCCATAATGCCCTCTTCTTTCTTCCCTTTTACACTTTGGCCATTCCATCTTTCTTCTTCCTCATTTCGTCACCCCTCATTGACTTTGTTGCCCCCTCCACTTCATCTCCCACCATCATTTCCTCTTTCTTGTCTTAATTTTTCTTGTCAAAAAAGTTCAAAAAGAATGAACAATGCCCTACCTCCCCACTTCATCTCACACAGGGCTATAAAAAATAATTCACATTATTTATAGTATGACCTTTTTTACAGCATGTGAAGTATAAGAAAAATATGTCATACTATTTATAACTTATAAATTATACAACTCACTAGAATATATAAATGTATTCATTTATTTATAGATTATTTATATTATTCAAAAATAATAAAGTATTATCATAAGTGACTGAGAGCTAAATTTCTAATTTTTAATGTGTAAAACAAACTTGGAGGATGAAAGAAATTTGTTATTTACCCCGTGTATTAAAAAATATTATCTACTCTTTATATCTTGAGAGGAATTAAATTTTTATAGCAGAAAATATTCCAAGTCCATTAAAAAAAGCTTCCTTATTTACATACTACTAGCTTTATTGCTTTCACAAATTTCAATAATTATTCAAACAGAACTAAGTTAAACCATAAAACTGAAACAGCTGATCCAGATCAAATAAAACTTTCACAGCCATCAAATGTAAAATCTTCAGTGTTCAATGAAACTAAACTCAAGATGCTAAACACAAAAAATAAACTCAAAGTAAAAATTAACGTTTGAATTCACAAAAAAAAGAGAAGAGAAAAGAAAAGAAAACAAAGAACCGGGGGTAATTAAGACATTTCATGAATGGGTCCAGTTTGCAAGGCTAGAAGCACAGGGCGACCTCGCGGGACAAGGGTATTTTCGTCCACAAGAAAAATTTTCCCAATTTGAAAAATGCATAAAATATGGAAAGGGGTGCTCCATATTCCTACACAGTGGAGGTAAAAGAACTGTGTGCCGAAAGTGACGAGCCAATGAAAAATACAGCGCAAATCTCAGAACCAAAAACACATGAAACCAGCACCACCACCAAAAAGCAATCGCCCCAGTAACAGTACTTTTTTCTCTGCTTTCTCTTTCAGCTAGGGTTTGCTCTTTATCCCAAGTTTAGTTCCCTTTGAGAAAATAAAGGAAAAAAAAGAAGCAATTTTACAGTTTCCAGAGATTCCCCACTTGAAAAGGGGAAAAAAAAAATCTACCTTTGATTCTTCAGATATATTTTTTCCTAGTACTCAGTCAATGTCCTTTGTTCTTCACTTCTTCCACTTGGTGCTGTGAAATCTTCTAAAGGAGAAAATGATTCAGGGATCCAGGAGGTTTCGAATAGCTTAGAGCATAAATGGAATCTTAAAGAAGATGAAGATCCAAGGTACGGTTCTGTTTTGGTGGTCCTAAGGCCGTGAGGGAGAAGTGGGTTTGATAAAACTTGGGGTGTCTGGTCTTAAAATTAAAAGCTTGGATCATGCTTCAAAGGTGTCTGTTCTGGGATTTTACTTGTTAGCTGAATCGAATCAGTGCTGGACGTTTCTGGGTGTCCCTGTTTTCTCGCTTTTTATTTCTTGGGAACTGTTTAGGTTTCGGTAGGTTTCCAGCGTTCAGATCGTTGGGTGTTCTCGTGTTCGTGGTTGTCTCTGATCTCGAAAGAATACTGTTTTCTCGTGTTCGTGGCTGTCTCTTGCGGACGAAGCAAAAGTGACTGCGTAACATTTCAGGCACCCTCAAACTCTTGTACTTTTACCTCTATCACTGTGATCCTTCACGTAAAAAATTTGCAAATGCTTGCTTTCTCTTGGAGGCGTATTTGAGGTTGGTCTAACTGCATCCAGAAAATATTCAAGAGTAGTGTTAAAGCTGCTTGTGCAGTTGTGCTGGGTCTGTTCTTACGTTTGGTGTTTGAGAACTCTAAAGTAATTGACTATGGCAATGTCCTGCAAGGATGGTAAACCAGGAATGGATAACGGCAAGTATGTCCGTTATACACCTGAGCAGGTTGAAGCCCTCGAGAGGCTTTATCATGATTGTCCCAAACCCAGTTCCATTCGCCGCCAGCAGCTCATTCGTGAGTGCCCTATTCTTTCCAACATTGAGCCCAAACAAATCAAAGTCTGGTTCCAGAACAGAAGGTATCCTTCACTATTTTCTCTTATGCCTTTAATTATTGGTTGGGTATAGTTAAGATATGGGAACTCCTGTATTGATAATCTTTCTAATATTTCCCTTAAGCACGTACTTAATTCTACCATTTGGTTAACTAACATGAACCCCCCCAGCTGATGCACTTTTATTGTTTTTTTATCTTTTAATTTTATTTTCCTAGTTGAACTGTTTAGTATGGTGATTCCAATAAATTTTGTTTATTTGGCTTTTGTAACTTCAGGTGCAGAGAGAAGCAAAGGAAAGAGGCCTCACGACTTCAAGCTGTGAATAGGAAGCTGACGGCCATGAACAAACTTCTGATGGAGGAGAATGATAGGTTGCAGAAACAGGTCTCTCAATTGGTGTATGAAAATGGCTACTTCCGCCAACATACTCAAAATGTAAGAATTTTGACCACGTTTCCATTGGAGTGCTGTGAAATCGTTGTAATAATTATTGCTCTATCTACAGACTACGCTTGCAGCCAAAGACACAAGCTGTGAATCGGCTGTGACAAGTGGCCAACACAGCGTGGCAACTCAGCATCCCCCAAGGGATGCAAGTCCTGCAGGGTTAGTTCAGAAATAGTTTTTGGGGCTGTTTCTCTGATTTTGGTCTGTGACCGCTTGAATGTGAGAATGTTACTTAAAGATTACATTTGGTTTTTTCAGGCTCTTGTCCATTGCAGAAGAGACTTTAGCAGAGTTTCTTTCAAAGGCTACTGGGACTGCTGTTGAATGGGTCCAAATGCCTGGAATGAAGGTAACTGACTATCTTAATTGACAAAATGGCATAAGAATAGGGGGAAAAAATGTCATCCTAAGAATAACTCATGCTTTGGAGTCTACTAAATTTCTGCATATTTGCACAGCCTGGTCCGGATTCCATTGGAATCGTTGCTATTTCTCATGGTTGCACTGGTGTGGCAGCACGTGCCTGTGGTCTAGTGGGTCTAGAACCCACAAGAGTAAGTGTTTGGGGTTTATTATTTTTATTATCATGCTCTTTTTTGAACTAGGAACTGCATGATTGACTTTACATTCTCCAGGTCGCAGAAATCCTCAAGGATCGGCCATCATGGTTTCGTGATTGCCGAGCTGTTGATGTTCTGAATGTGCTGCCCACTGCAAATGGTGGAACCATAGAGTTGCTTTATATGCAGGTACAACAAAAATTGTGTAAGAATGATGACTATCTGTATCTAAGTAGGTTTGTGCCACATCACTTAATTGCATACTTCTTTGTCGATTCAGCTATATGCCCCAACCACATTGGCTCCTGCTCGGGACTTTTGGTTGTTGCGCTATACTTCTGTTCTAGAAGATGGAAGCTTTGTGGTGAGCGTCTTTGAAGACTTTTTTGCTTATATTTCTAATTCCTCATATTTTGCTTCTTAATTGTTATTCTGATTTGTTCCCTGCCTAGATCTGTGAGAGGTCCCTTAAAAATACTCAAAACGGTCCAAGCATGCCTCCTGTGCAGCATTTTGTGAGAGCTGAGATGCTGCCTAGTGGTTACCTAATAAGACCTTGTGAAGGGGGTGGTTCTATTATCCACATTGTTGATCATATGGATTTGGAGGTACACTTATTTAGGAATTTTTTCCTATGGATTGATTTGTTTTTTTTAATAGTTATACAAACTTCTTGAATTTTGCAAATTACTTGGGTCTCTCTTCCATCTTCAAACTGTAACCAACTCTTCTATAGATTAAAAGTTATGCTCTGCAGTCTATTTGTAAATTTTCTGATCAAAATACCGATAATCATCTTAAATATAGTTTCTGGTCAAATTTTAATGAAATATTTATTCCTTGTTTGTGCACATGTGACTACAATACATATTTGAATGTTTTAATCGAAATTTAAATTGGACTTATATTTATATTTATACTTTGAAAATAAAGGGAAGTTTTGTGTAACTGTAGATATATCAAACCATTTGAAGATGCCTATTTGAATATGGGCGTAATTTATTTATTTTTCTTAATATAAACTACTGAATAATTTAAGCCTCTCTATGTGACCATTAGCCATGGAGTGTGCCAGAAGTGTTACGCCCTCTGTATGAATCATCAACAGTGCTAGCTCAGAAGAAAACAATGGCGGTATGTTATTTTATCCTTACAAGACTAAAACGGTGTTCACATGGTATGATACTTTATTATTTCTATTACTTTATGCTTATATGTTTCTCCTTTTCATTCAGGCCTTACGGCAGCTGAGACAGTTATCTCATGAGGTTTCTCAGCCCAATGTCACTGGTTGGGGCAGACGACCTGCAGCACTACGAGCGCTAAGTCAGAGACTGAGCCGGTTGATACGTTATACTTCTTGGGCATGATTCTTATGTAATTTCTACGTATCCAAAATTTTAGTCTGACATCTGTTTCATGCCAGGGGTTTCAATGAGGCACTCAATGGATTTAGTGATGAGGGGTGGTCAATGATTGGCAATGATGGTATAGATGACGTTACAATCATGGTTAATTCATCTCCTGACAAGTTAATGGGACTAGATCTTTCCTTTGCCAATGGATTTCCATCTATCAGTAATGCTGTGTTGTGCGCCAAAGCATCTATGCTATTGCAGGTCTGGTTGCTTATATGCCTCACCAAAACCTTTTGAAATTATAAAATGAATATGCCAAACAACTAGATGTTAAAAAAAAAAAATGGTTCGCTAATTTTACATATCAAGTAAATCATATTTGCATTATCTTTTATTCTTATATATCTTTGTTGGCATCTTTGACTTTCTTGGTATAGAATGTGCCTCCAGCCATTCTCCTAAGGTTCTTGCGGGAACACAGATCAGAATGGGCAGACAACAACATGGATGCTTACTCAGCCGCTGCCATTAAAGTTGGTCCATGTAGCTTGCCAGGGTCCCGTGTGGGAAATTATGGAGGTCAAGTTATACTTCCTCTGGCTCACACTATTGAGCACGAAGAGGTGATAGCCTGTGCATGATATGCACCACAACTATTAAGAATTCAATGGCCCTGTTTTCTGATTATTTTTTTTCCTTATGCTTGCTAGTTTCTTGAAGTGATTAAACTGGAAGGGTTAGCACATTCCCCTGAAGATGCGATCATGCCCAGAGAGGTGTTTCTTTTGCAAGTAAGTTCTATTTCCTTCTTGTACCTTATTCTTCACTGTTTCATAAATGGGAGAAATGGAATGCGTGTTTTCTTTGGCGTGACAATAAATTTTTCTGCCATGCAATATGTTTTGGAACACTTCGTGGATCTTGGTTAAGTTCCAAATGTATTTTCCTATCCTATAGCATATTTATATAGTGGTACCTTGTATTATTTTAAGATTTTGCGATGTAGTAAGCTAGGAATGTAGATCGAAGTCCAAGAGTTGTGGGATAATTTAAGCTTCCTTATTCTGTTAACTGTTAAAAAAATCCTTGACTGAAATATCAAGCCATCTTTTCATTTGATTTCTAATGTTGCTTTTTTATTGTTGCTCATATCTTTGTATTTTGTTTTGTATGTTGGTAGCTCTGTAGCGGAATGGATGAGAATGCTGTTGGCACTTGTGCTGAACTTATATTTGCTCCAATTGATGCATCCTTTGCTGATGATGCCCCGCTTTTACCTTCTGGGTTCCGTATTATTCCTCTTGATTCTGGGAAGGTTAGCCTCAATCATGGTTGAAGTGGAAAAGTCTGTTGGTTTTTTCCTTTTCATGCGTTTCTTAATTTTTGCAATGAATCCTTTCTGCAGGAAGCATCCAGTCCAAATCGCACCCTTGATCTTGCATCTGCACTTGACATTGGTCCCACTGGGAATAAACAATCTAATGATTATTCTGGAAACTCTGGCTGCATGAGATCTGTTATGACTATAGCATTTGAATTTGCATTTGAAAGTCATATGCAAGATCACGTTGCAACAATGGCACGGCAATATGTTCGTAGCATTATATCATCAGTCCAAAGGGTGGCATTAGCGCTTTCTCCTTCACACCTGAATTCTCAAGCTGGGCTTAGGCCACCGCTGGGTACTCCTGAAGCACAGACACTTGCTCGTTGGATATGCAACAGTTATAGGTTAGTAATCTTGGTTTTGCATGACAGATGCCATTGACGTGTAATTCTGATCTTCAAGATTGCCACGAGGATTAGAAATAATTGTATTTTAGCCTGAAAATTGTAGCCATTGACATTGTGATTTGAACGATAATTAAGGTTACTACTGGTTTACTGTCAGTGGCAAATGCAGTGTGATTAATCGATTGTTGGGGGGATATTTATTCATACTTTTTTGTTCATATAAAACTCATTCGATGAATCTAGAGGGGGGGGGGAACTCATTGGATAAATATCTCCTGGTGATTGTAAACTACGCTGAAGTTTTATATTTTGGTTATAGAAGGCCGAAACTAGTTGTTCAAGGCACGAACTTTTTATTAACCTTTTCTTTGTTTTAGGTGCTACTTGGGCGTGGAACTACTCAAATCCAGTAATGAGGGAAATGATTCCATCCTTAAGTCCTTGTGGCATCACTCAGATGCAATACTGTGCTGCTCTCTAAAGGTATGTGTGAAATTTACTCATTTTGGCTGTAGCTTTTTCATGTACCACACCTTCACTCTATTTACAATTTGCATAACTTGACTTCACTTCCTTAGTTTCAACGTTTCTGATACCCACCCTTTTCTGAACTCGATTTTATGCAGGCATTGCCTGTCTTCACTTTCGCAAACCAGGCAGGGCTTGATATGCTGGAGACTACTTTAGTTGCACTGCAAGACATTGTTTTGGAGAAGATATTTGATGAACATGGACGAAAAATTCTCTGTTCAGAGTTTCCTCAGATCATACAACAGGTCTGCTTTTAATATTCAAAATTTGTCAAAATTCACTGGAACCTCTCAAAAATTGAACATGTTTTCCATTCATTGAATGTGCTGCCAATATCACTTGTTGAATTTTCAAGATTTATTATAATGATTTCTCTTGACTGGTTTTCGTTCTCTTGGGATAGGGTTTTGCATGCCTTCAAGGAGGCATCTGTCTCTCGAGCATGGGGAGGCCAGTGTCCTATGAGAGAGTGGTGGCTTGGAAGGTGCTGAATGAGGAAGAGAACGCTCATTGTATCTGTTTTATGTTTATGAACTGGTCCTTTGTTTGAAGTTATGTCTAGAGACTAAGAATTGAACCAGTGTTGAAGATGAATCATTCTGTACTCTCAAGACCTTGTGTTTTGTTGGTTGTTCTTCTGTATTTATATTCCGCCGAGACTTTGGATTGCATATGAAGACAATATGTTAGTTTGTTTAGTTTATGTCCTCTATCTTCTTGACCCCTCTTCTTTAGTGTGGTGCAGATAATCGTTTTTTTTAACTTGGTTTCAGCCTTCGATAACTTCACTTCTAGGAATCACGGGCATTTTGGCACATTGACACCTCATAACATCTAGAGATTTTAATGTTATATACTTGAATGAGGTATATCAGGCAAATGTTTTTTAGACTCTAGCCCAAGAGCAGAGTACAAATAACAGTCAGCACATAAAACAGAGGAAAGGAGAGGCGATGACCAAGAGCAGAGCATGCAACCAAAACCCTAGTTTCATCCAGGAGATTAAAAGAAAAGAAAGGTAATTTTGCATTTTAGAAAACAAATTTCTTTTCACATATTTTTGTTATTTTAATTTATGTCCAGTATTTTGCGTGGTACGATTCATGTAATCAATTTTACCCCTAATGGGATAATAAATTTTGTCGTGGCTTTCTTATTTAATATTTTATTAAATAATGCAAAGGAATAACATATGCAAGTTGATATTCCTTCGGCTTAAATTTTGTAAACAAGCCCAAGACTCGAAAAATTATTGCATATCTCAAAATATTTCACAATTTTGATGCAATGAATTGTAACTGTAGACTCCTGTCTAAAACTAGCTGCCATTTGTCCCTTTGGTGAGAGGCAAATTCTTTCAAACAGATGACCTAGGCAAAGCGCATTTTTAAGTAAAAAAGTACGATAATTATTATTTATATTTACGTCTACTAGAAAAGGAAATGACAAAAAAGTGGTTGAAGTTGGAAACAAACGATTAGTACTCTTTAATATTTCTTAACTCTGAAGATAACAAGTACCGTCGTTATTTTTTGTTACTAATAATTGCATTGAACAAGAAATCAATATGACTTCTTCTTGACCTTATGGTTTAGTAAAACGTATTGACTTACTGAGATGCCATTCTTCAAAGTACTTTATTAGTTACTTTTCACAGACAATTCATGAAAGAACTATGGTAAATCTTCATGCAAAATTAATTCACTTTATCAAAGTGTTAGAGCTACGTCACCAAAGTACTGAAATATGTAATACGTAAACCTTTCTTGTGAGAAAATAAAACAAAACATCAGAAAGAGACTGAAACTTTTTCTGATTAAAATCTTTCTGCAACCAACTTCAACTGCCTTTGTTATTATTATTTTTTTTCTTTTTCGTTTCCTTTTTGAAGGTTTGGTTAAGCCGCTCGCTCGTGAAGTTAGAGTTCATGTATGTGGCAGAGAGGCCATATGATGTGATAAGACCTTGCAAGCTTCTTTCTTTCCCCTCACCTCATAGCTTTACTGCAAAAAGGAGAGAGAGGAAAGTTATTCGTATATGGCTTCACCTTGCCACCATGTGAACGCCTCACAGGTTGGCTACCTGCTCAGTATCCACTGGACCACCAAATCAATGGTAATTATTAAAGAGCTTTTCAGTATCGAAAGCAAGCTACGTTATCACAGATTGATTCTTGATATTCACTTTAAACCAAATGGGGAAGTATCACGGCCAAAAGAAAAGGAAAGTACTTGAGCATTCCAGTATAATACTTATTATATTTCATGGTAATTAATGTGGTTTGTAACTATGCATGGACAGTGTGATTATGACACTTCAAAGTAGCAATACCATGTTATTTGTGTGGGACGAATGTATATGCATGATAGCCTCTTATATATGTAAAGCTACTAATTACTAACAAGTGATATGTAACTAAAAATGATGGATTGCACATGCATATTAATGACCCTAAGAAAAAGTAAGGAAAGAAAAAGGATGAATTCACCTTGCAACATTATCAGCCAAGGAAGAAAAATCATTCATATGAGCCTTTATTTCATGGAGCTACGGCAGCCATGGAAGTTCAGTACTGCTAATTAATGAAAAATTGTCTTTTCTGGGGAGAAAAAGAAAAACTTTCATTAATTGCTCTACTAAGTTTTAAGATAAGTTAAGATTTGTGACTCCTTTTCTTATCAAATCCCCAGAAAAATCTAGCAGTTTCACGACCTTTGAAACTGACACCTGAGTCTCCGACATCCACACAAGCTCACAGTTTCAAGGCCTCAACCATTATAAATACCAACCGCACCTTCCCTCTTCAACCATAGAATTACTGTTAGAAACTTTGTTGGTACCGCTCTTTTCAAAACAAAGTTTCATCGTTTTCCTCTACCTTTTTCAAAGATATCATGGCACCCCACGGAGAATTCTCGCCTGGCTTTACATTCTCCAGGACCAGCAACAACAACGCCAACAGCAACATGTCGAAGCCACCGAGGTTGTCGTCCGACCACCTCCAGAGGACAATCTCAGACATCTCCTTCGAGCTAAGCAAAGAAGGGTTAGATAATCTCACGTCTCTCCCACCAATCTCAGAGGTGGAAGATGCCAAGTGCGAGTGCTGTGGGATGAGCGAAGAGTGCACGCAGGAGTACATAGAGCGCGTGAGGGAGAAGTTCTTAGGAAAGTGGGTGTGTGGGCTGTGTTCTGAGGCAATCAAGGAGGAAATAGAGAAGAACGGAGGGAAGAAAGAGGAAGCCCTAAACACACACATGAACGCGTGTGTTAGGTTCAACAAGTTTGGTAGGGCTTTTCCTGTTTTGTTTCAAGCTGAGGCCATGAAGGAGATGTTGAAGAAGAGCAAGATGGAAGGTAAAGTTAGGGCTAAGTCCATTAGCCCTAGAGATCACAAAGCTGGCCCCAACAAAGTTGGCGCCATTGCTCGTAGTTCAAGCTGTATCCCAGCACTTACAAGAGAGATTAATGATCTCGCAATCGCCAATTAAGTCATGATGTTGGCCAGTTTCTGTATGTGTACGAAGAACCTATGCTCCTATAGATCTGACTGACACTTCAAATCTTCTACTCCTATAGTACTACCTCCCGTCTTTAATATAAGATTTAGTTTGTGGTTTAAATTACAAACTAAATCTTATATTAAAAGCCGATGGTAGTATAATTTTGTTGTGTTCCAGGATCTTTATGAGTATTTTCGTTCTTCATAGGAAAATGAGGGACATGTGGTTTTGTAGCTTAGTTAACCCAATCCCTTTTTTAACTAACTATTTTAAATTTTTTGAACTCTTTTCGTATGAAACCTCCTTCAGCAGTCATATGGATATCTCAAAGCAGTTAGGTATCTGTTTTTTTGGGGATAAACTAGGGTTATATATCACTCATTCATTAGGGTTGTGAGTTTTTTTTTTATCTGGATTGTTCCCATGATTAAAATTGGAGGGTTTTGTATTTGCTTCTTTCTCGTGTGTTTGTATCCAAGTATATATTACAGACTCTGTGTAAGTCATGTACTTATAATGAGGAATAAAGTCCTTTGACGTTATGCATATGTATATGAGTTCTACTATTGTTCAATATCTTGCTTCCCGGAGAACTCTTTTTTTTTTTTTTTGGAACTAATAATACAAAATATCCTTTTTCTTAATTTGGTCAAAAAAAATTTGACCAAAGAAACTTGGTAAAAAAACTCGGCTTACTAATTAATTAAATGGAGAAAAGGAGAGTTTTAATAGTTTAAATTTAAAATTTTCAACTAATAATTTTAAATGAAAAACTAATTTTTGGAAAACGGACAATTAAGAATTTTGTATAATTTATTTCAAATTCTGTATGCAGTAAAATAATTTATTTTAAAAAATAAAAGTAAAAAATTAAATTTGGACGGTCCTTGCTTCCACCAATAATGATCCGTAAATAAGTATAAAAAATAAGAAGAGAGAAGTAGAACAGAATATTCGCGCACCTAAAGGTTATTGTAGCATATATATTGATTAAAGTACAAACATAGCCCAATTTTCTTCTCCTTTTCCCTTCCTTTTCCCCTCTATATATAAGCCCCCAATAACCCTTCTTCTTCAACCCCTCAATTCATCTCTTAATCCCCCCCCTCTCTCTCTCTAAAATTCATTTCCAGAAAATGGAAATGGAAAGCAGTATACCCATAGTGAAGAGAGTGTGGAGCTTAGTTCGTGTGGCCTTCTTCATGTTGAGGAAAGGCGTATCCAAGGGCAAGCTAATGATGGACCTAAACATGATGCTCAAGCGCCGTCGCAAGACCGCCGGCAAAGTTATTTCCAACCTCATGTTCCCCCACCACCACGACGGCAGTTCACACCTTCAGTACTCTGGCCAGCGCGAGTACGAGTTCAGCTGCAGCAATACACCAAACAACTTCTTCTTGCCCGTCGGCAGCAGCAAGCGCCACCGCCAAAGTCGCCACACTCACCAGAGTCACGCACACTTATTTGCTTGTGCTCACGCACCGCCCACTCAGGACGACGAAGTGGTGGTGAAGGCGGTGTTGGCGATGCTGAACAATGACGTCATGATAGAGGCGTCGTCGCCAGCTCTTCCTGGGTTTGGCAGGAGCCCCATGGTGCGTCAGCTGAGGGTGACGGACTCTCCATTCCCATTGCGAGACACCGATGAGGACCACCAGGTAGACAAGGCGGCGGAAGAATTCATAAAGAAGTTTTATAAGGAGTTGAAGAACCAGAGTTGAATCTTCATCGTCATTATCTTTTATATATATATATATATATATATATATAGCTTCTTACTCCATGTTAATTACGTTATGACCGACTACAAAATTTTGAAGTTTGACGTTTATCCCAGCCAGTGTGACGACATGACTTTGGTTCATGTTGTTATTTAATATATCCATGTGATGGGATTTCGTACGTTTAAATTTTGCTTATGAGAATAAGAATTAGGAGTTTACGAGTGTAATGTACTAAAGCTCTCTTTGTTAATTTAATCATACCTATCACTCCTTGTTTCTCTGTTACCAGAGTCAGGGTCACGTTCTTGAGAGTTTCATAAAATGTTACAGGAAGAGTTAATAAAGGGTAACTGTAGGATGACGATGATGCTGTAATAGTAATATAATAATCCAGTTGATTTCGTTCGCTTGTATCCAAATTAATCATATCGATTGCGTATGTTAAGAGTGTTTGCATTAAAAGATAGTTTCAATACAAATGGTTTAAGAAGATATTTTGGAAAAATTAAACCAACACATATTTTGACAAATAACTAATTTAACATATTTTTCTAATCTAGTCAAATTAGTTAAATAGATTTTATATATATTAATGACCGAAAATAGTATGATTTTTCTTATAAAAAGGAAATAGTATATAGGGTTTCAATTCAAGCTGATTAACATGCATGAATTAATATCAATGCTCTTAGCAGAATAAATACTCCCCTACAAGTAGAAGGTCGTGCAATAGTCATCCGTCTGTATCTAATTAAACAAAAATGTATATATTAATTCTTTATAATTATGAAAAATTTAAATTAATACGAAGACGAGTGTTGTATGCTGGCCTAAGAAACTTGAGAGAATAATTGAATCTTCCCTGAGCTACCCTCATGTTCGTACAAGTACAACCTCTCTTGTACTCAAGGAATTTCTGAATATGGCCATAATATTCTTCCTTGCAGAATTTCTCTCGCACACAGATTCATATATAATTCAATTGATCTTTTCTCTTTTTCTTAGTCCACTTTTTTTAATATTTTATTTAGGATGAATCATGAATGCTTATCGCAATTAATTATAAACATGTTTATGATGAATTTAAAGTATTATAGTTTAATTAATATATATCAAATTATTTAAAAATATGAGAATTTAATTTGTACGTATTCTCTAATGCTTGAAAAAAGGATTTGTATTACCTTATGTTTCACATTCGTGTGCTTTTGAGTACGTGACTTTATAGGCGACGCAGACCCCAAAATGTAAAATGAGCAAAGTTGGGGACAGATTATTGTACGACAAAGAAGGAAGGGTATCCCAAGAATTCAAAAAGAAATGTAAAAGAGGTCAATTGCTGAGAGATATGGAAATAATATTTTTCTTGATCCTATTTATTATAAGTCAACTTGTTAATTTTTTAATATGAATGTACTGTGTTATCTTTTATTTATTACTTTTTAAAAATGTATGTATTAATTATGGATAGAATTAAAACATAGTTAAATTTTAAGGCAGAAGTAGTGTTTTTCTTGATTTATGTAATACAGAAGTAGCTTATAAATAAAATCATAGAAGTGTGTGTATGTGTGTGTATATATATAATGTGATCAAATTAAAGTGTGATTTGGTAATAAAGAATTGAGAAAGGGTTTAATTTACAGCAAGAACGGCACTTGCATAAATTAGTTGTAGTGATATGATAGGATTCCACTCACATGTGAATTAAAGTGAGTGTGTATAGGCTGTCTCTTCCCTCCTAAGTCCTAAATATTGTTGCCTTTCCCTAACTTGGCCCCTTTTGCCTTTATTTGCTTTTAATCCCTTTGCTTTTATTTATTTGTTTTTCCTACTTAATGCTTGCTTCTTTTTCCCTTTTCAATATTTCAGATTATCTACAGATTTTATTATTATTAACACTTCATTAATTAACAATTGTATCATGTTCATACTCCTTTTGTGATAGTTTTTAACTACTTGCTAGTAGAATTACTCCCTCTGGTCTTATATAGGAGATTTTTTTTTTTTTTAATGTATGGCACGTTCTTATTCATAAGAGAGGCTACTAATATGTCTAAAATTAGAATCATTTTTCATATTTTTCTTATTAATTATTAGTTAGCCTTATCGCATTAATCATTCAATTACTTTTTCTTCATAAATAAGATTGTTTTTAATAAATAAGTAATATTTTTTCATATTTATCTCAATCATTTAAAAATTTTAACCATTTTTATTCATGTAGTTCAGTTATTTGTATTCTATAAAGAGGACAAGAGCAAAGGAGATTCTTGTCACTCATGTATAAGTTGCTATATTGTACTTTTCTTAAAAATCATTTTCATTGAATTCAGACTAAAATAGAAATAATATGTTAATTCTCATTAATCTGAAAATAATAATAAGTTAAAGTATTAAAATTAAACTGAAACGGATTAAACAAATACTGATTAAACAAAACGTGTCTTAGATCATCGTTGAATACTGAATTCATATCCGCCCATAAGATCAAACCAACCATTGTGGTGTTTATTTTTATTTATTAAATATAAATATGGTAAGTGGTTGCTTTAATTGCAAGAAAGTGTGATGGGGAAGATCACATATAAACAAGGAAACAAAGTGAGTGGCTCCGCAATATTCACTTTGTTTAATTTAATTACTCAATAATTAAAACCATTGAATTCACCTTTAGCCTTTAGCCTTTAGGCTTTACCTAATACCTTAATTACGTATGCGATCCAAATGGTAGTGCATAACAAAACAAGGGAGTTTAGTTTAAAAGCAAATATCTAATTAAAACCAAAACAAGGCCAGGGTTGGTTTAGCTCCATGGTTATGCAGATTTTAATTAAATATCAGGCGATTAATTTTCTTCTAAATTATCTCATTGTTGTTTTTCTTTTTTTAATTAAAGAAGCAGGCACTAACAGTCTAAGATTATAAGTAGGATTTAACACGTATCCTCTCACTAGAAAGTGCTAATGCCATTAGATTACAAAGCCTTCCGCCCCATTGCTGGTTTTAATGGGCTTGTATTTTCCCCAATATGAGCACTTCCGTGTGAATTTTTTTTTCTTCAAGACATTGATTTTTAATTAATACTATGTTCAATTAAATATGATATCATTTTACTGGCTGACGCATGGTAGTTAATTTAAATAACGGTGAAAGAAGACAAGTAGACAACAATGAGACAATAAATGAGGGTGACTATGAAAAAAATAGAGATAAAATTAAGTGCTTGTGTTTGCAAGTCAAAAATGTTACAAAGAATCAGTAAGAACCAAGTCCAAAGATGTCGATTTCAGCCAATAATAATTGTGTAAGAAAAACTTATTTATATAAATATATATTAAATTACATATATCATACAGATTTTTATTTTTGGAGGGCAAAAACGTGGACTTTCTTTCTTTCTTGTTTTTTTTTTAAATAATCATTTAGACTTTGCTTCAAGTAATCTCCGGTGACATTAAGAAATATAATAAATGGGTGGCCTGTAAATGGGAAACGTGTCACCTTTTGAAGCCGTCTATTCCTTGTTCTTTTAACATGCTTCACGTGTAATAATTTTATTATTATATCATAATAATTTTTTATCGGTCTACCATAATAATTTTAATACAACAAATCAATGAAAAGTTGTCAATACGACATTCATTCTGACTTTTTAAATACTTAAATATTCATTTTTTTCAACTTTAAATATACATATATTATTTCGATAATATACAAGAGTGTTAGTATCTTTTATTAGACTTTATTGTAAATCTGATATTTTTAAAAACATTTTACGTAAAAATCATAAATAATACCACTTATTTTTCACATTATGCATGTAAAAGAGGCTCACTTGATTTTCTCTGTTTTATGATTCTTGGACGAATTTGATAGCTCCTCGATTATTATTTTGTGATCTAATTTTTCGAGCTAATTAATAAAATGCATAAGTAATTTTTTATTTTTGTTGCATAAACATGCCATATATAGAGTTCTGAATATTTGAATATGCATATCTGGCATAAATTTTCATGATGTCCACTTAATTACTAACGTATATGAACATGTTGGTCCGAGTTTGAAGAATTGTGTTTTTAAAAGAGTAACTTGAGACTTTGAATCAAAATCTGAGAGCATTATTCAATGACGAGGACACAGAATTCCCAAATTCAACGTTTAAGTTGCAAATGGATATTTATTAATATTGTATTGCAACAAATTGCACCAATTGCTCCTTAACTCGTCATCATAATTTTAGTTTGCGCATCGCTCTCGTATAGAAACTTCTGGGACAGTCCAAACTTCATATATACAAACTCAATCAAAATTAATATTAATTTTAATTAATCAAAGCCAAGAGCCCAAGACTTGAACACCGAGTACACAGTTTGAAATCTAGGAAGATTGCCACGGGATTTCCATATGAAAAGGGGGGGAAAAAGAATTTGTTTTGTTTAAGAAAAAGGAAATAATGAGGGAAAAAAGGAGCAAGTAATAGATGTAGATTTTACTTTTTAAGTTTTAATTACAGTGATACTAATACATGGGTAATTTGAAGTTGTGCTACTATTAATCATAAGATGCTTCCTTTAATTGCGTGCGGAGATAAAATGATTACAGAATCGAACTTTTTAGCTGTCTGCCAGCATTGCATTGCTTTCTATAAAAGTTCTCTCATAAAAGTTCAATTAAATGCTTAACTTTGAAAAATAATTAGGCTGGGCCGATTAATGAGAAGTAGGGCTATAATTGCCCACGATAGAGTGAGGTCTTATACCATAAAGTGTTTTAATTCATATCACTAATCATAATTTAGTTTTCAAATATGCCGAGAAAATTTAGCTAGCATGCATGCATGCAGATCAATGATAATGATTTTTTTTTAATGTAGTTATCAATAATTTTTTTTTATTTGTGAATCACCTTTCGAAAGTCATATACTCCCTCTAGTCCAAAATATAAGGTGCTTTCTAGAAGAGATTGAATATCAATATGGAAAATAGATGTGAGACAAATTTGAATGGGGTCAAAGTTGAAATTTTTTTTTTCTCCAGTTTAAAATATACCATCGTAAATATAAGATTTAATTACATTGCAAACTAGATTTTATACTGCAAGAGGTTGACTGTTTAAATTTGCCAATGTTTAGGCGGACTGAAATGTTCACATGACCAAAATAAAAGCACCCATAAGCCATATAATCAACTTCTTGAAAGCTTAAACGCAGACATACTTTTACCCTTTTCTAAGCTTTATTTGAAAGCCAATTTATGTTGTTCTCCATCAATAATGTTCCAATG